AAAGTAAACTTCCTTTTACAAGCAATGAATTATAGAGATTATGTAATTAGATACTCCCTAGGCAGACACAAAGAATATGTGAATTTGTTGAAGCATTTCTTAGTATATAGAAGCTTAACTTTATTCCATTCAAGTAATCAGTATCAGGACTCTTGAGTCTTGCTACAGGAGGCAGAAGCCTTCAAGGTCTGCCAGTACTAGCAGCTTCTATTATTTTCAAATTATTTTATCTCCAGAACAGCCTTACACTGTTTAGTTTCTCTGCTTATTTTAAAGGATTTTCATTGAGGCTCTCCAATGGCCTCCCCTCCCTCTTCTGATGCAACCCAAGTAACCTGACAGGGGAAAACTAAACCAAACCAATCAACCCAACCCTCACAACGAAGGCACAGCTGTCCTGTGCAAATAAACCTTTGATATTAGAGCCTGCCTGGACAGCAGCACAGGACAATCTGAAAAAGGGCTGGAAAGGTTGTTAGAAATTATGTAACTGTCAGGTTCTGCTCACACAGTGTCCCCACCTCTTCACAGGCTTTTAAAGTAGGCATATAAAGCATAAAACCAGCCCCACCAAATGACACACAAGCAAATATAAGTGAGCAGAGGAGCCTGTATCATAGCTTGCTTCACACTACCAGCAAGGACATCTTTCTTGCTGTGTGAAAGAAAAGGTTGCTTTTAGGATTTCGGGTTAACTACAAATCAAGACTAATCCAATCTGAAGACAAAGGCTTCAGTTTGATGCTTAATAATCCAAAACAGTCTCAGGTACAAACATGTGGCAAGTCTTACCAAGAAAGTTTTTGAACTGTAGGGAAAACCTTGCTTACGGAGGGATTACTCCATATACAGGTTTAAACTGTTATTAGTATCCATTTTTTTTCCCTTCAGTACATTCTTTTACAATACAGAATAAGTCTCATCTCTCCTGCTTCACTAGCACTCCCAAAAAATCATCATCCTGTCAAACAATTTATCTGCTAGTAGACAAAGTAGTAATCAATACTGAGAAAAAAGGTATCAACTCATTTCTCAGTGTAGTCCAATGCTGTATCTCTTACCAAGACAAATAAGTAAGGTCTCTTCCTTAAGCCCAGTTATCTCACCTGATCAAGATGAAAACCATCCTGGTTTTCTTACTGGCATTTTACAAGGTGGGCTGGGACCATCCTCCCCACATTTGTTCTTATGTCAGTTGGCTGTGCTAAAAGGGATAAATAACAACAAGAAGATTCTGCTAGGGAATAAAATTAATCTACTTCCTGAATAGTCACTGTATTTGGAAAATCATATGTGGTGCCAAGCAGTGTCCATAAGGGGGAGTTCATCCAGAAGACATGAGCTTATCTTTTTCTGCCACAACAGGTGCACTAAGAACATCCTTGCCTCTGTGAAGCACACTCTCAGAACAGGTTCATGTAACAAAAAAACACTTTATGACAATTTGAAGTATGTATTCTGATGACACTTATTTTCACATTACAATAGTAATTCTGGTTTCCCCAATGCCAATATTAGCATCACCACAATATCTTAAGTATATCCCACCTCACAAAAGACAGTTAACAATGTAAGGAAAACTGCCTTGAAAAGTAACTGGAGAGGATATCTGTTAGAACTAGCCAGAGTCAAAACAGCATTTACAATAGACTTTCAACAGCCACACACTCCCAGCAGAATCAGACCCCTGAAGCTTTTTCTCTTTCTGCAATACCACACCAATTAATGTATCAAAGGGGTTTGGCACACATCAGTCTCCACCCACCACACAACTCCGTATCAGTATTTCCCCTATCATTAACCTCCTTCAGTTTACATAAGGAGCAAACAATCCCAGACACAGCCCACAAGAGCACTGCTAGGAGGTTCTGCTGGGAAGGGCTGATCGCCACAGCAGGGAACCCTGTCCCAAAGGTGACCACAACAGCTTTCTGCCTTAGACACGCTGGTGCCGGGGGCCAGCTACTGAAACCACAAAAGAGTCACCCAACCACACTCCACGACTTGACAGACAGATATATTTCTGCAACATTACTGTCTCCAGAAAGGGCTCAAAGTTAAGTTAATTCTGACCTATGCATCTGTAAAAGGAGTTAGGCAATACGTTGAATCTACTGCCAGAGCATTCAGTTATATACGTAGCCCACTGATTTTGTACAATGCTGGAGGTAGGGTATATCAGAGATTCCTGGACAGGAATGATGACAACATAACCAGAATAATTAAGTTAGTAATATGCTGAAAAACAGCTTCAAGTCTTGAAAAGCTGTCACCTGACTCTTGTTTTATGCCTTTGCCTCATCCACTGCAACACTGCCATTGAGTGAACTGCTGCAGCTACTAGGGTAAGGAAGCAAAGAGAGGCAACTTCTTGCCGCAGGAATAAAAAAAGCATACAATGGCTTTTGCTTTCCATGCATCACACCCTCTTGTCACCTGAGATTTCTTCATCACCCTTTTGCCAAAGACATCAGTATCCTCCTTCCTTTGAGACAAACTTCAACAGAGGTGAAGGAGGAAGCAGACATACTGTTCCCAAAGCAGTGCTGTACCTAAAACTGATCTTGCTGATCCTGACCAACACAAAAGGAGTCACAAGATGGGGAAACACCTATCACAACCCTCAAGGAACCAAGATTTGAAGCAGACTACCTTAAGGAAGCTGCATGGGCCAGCCTACTCAGTTTTTTTAGATTAGCAATATTAGGAACTGTTAGTAGGGAAGAGACTATCAGGTGATTTGTAAAATTCCACTAGGAAGTGGCTCAAAGAGGATTTTGTCACATTACGAATTTGTCCATGCTCCAAGTACATGCAACAGATTATTTAGAACACTCTTCAAACCTCAATTTCTTCTGGAGAGGAAAAAACATCACATTGAAAGACTTCCATTATATACACATATAAATAACACACTGTCTGATGTTTGTATGATGACAGTTGATCCCAGGTCTTGGAATCTTCCAGCTAGGCTGGAAGGCTAGCCAGTGCAAGGCTATAGAATCCAAACTGAAGTACTGCATCTCCTTGGCTGGAGATATAATTGAAGAAGTGTTTTAATATAAAAGATATAAAAAGCAAGCTCCGTGTGCCACAATTAAGCAGAAAAATCCTTTTCATATGTAGGCTTCCAGCTTTTCGGAAGTTAAAATATTTTGAAACTAGAAGAGACTTTTTATTGTAGCAGCAAACATGCTGCTGCAAAGCATGATTACAGGCTTCTACAATCGGCAGTCTCTTGCATTTTCCACCACACCCTCTTGAACTAGAATTACAATGGCAAAAGTAAGGCTACAGGGGCAAAAATACTCTCTGACAGGCCTTTCAGACCACTACTGAGAGTGGCTTTTTTGAATTTCTATTCCAAGAAGGGTTCTTTTCCCTAGATGCTGTTTTCAAACTGTCATCTACAATTACTTACCCAGAATGCTTTCAGACTTGGCACTGATGTAACATTCCAAGACTAGATACAGTGGTTTTTCTACCTTCAATAAATAAAAAGCCTATTCTGTTACAGAAAAGTCAGTTTACTGCTTTTTGAAGCAGAAGACAAAACTGTGTGCTGAAAATATTTACTTAGGCTGCATTAAGATGGGGGCAGGAACTTGGAACAGTGCCTGTAGTGATTTTACTTTCAGCAAAGCAAATGCTTTGAGAAGAAAAGTCTTTTTAACAAGGAGAAGCTACTGGTCTATACTTTATTGCTCTTAAAAAGAAGCAAGTAGAGTAACTCAACAAATTGCTGATTGCATGCTGATCAAAGAACCACAGGGCTGCACAAGCATACTCAGCAAAAGGAATGCTGCTCTTAGGGCAAGAGGCAGGCTGCCTTTTCCTTTGCAGTATATAGGGTATGCCCTACAGCAAGGACACTTATCAAAAAATCTTTCTCAGTAGCAAAGAAGCACCAGAGATGAATCATGGCTGGAATAATTCCAAAATATTTAAATTGGAAATACATTACTTCACAAGGAAGATCACAACGAGAAGGAATCTTAAAGATTACCAAATCAGTGAGAGAAAATCCTGCCTTTACTGAAGCCTGTAAAAATTTATTTCTGTTATAGCACATGGAGTTCTCAGCACCTCAGGCTCCATTTTTCATTATTTGTCCACATATTATTTTTTGTACCTTGTAATGGATAATTTCCTTCACACTGAAAAAAAACCCCAAAAAACAATGCTACCAAAACCCTCACTCCTGAGCAGGCAGATATCTATATCAGCTGAAGCAACTATTTGACTGCTATTCATACCTGTGTAGATAGACAGCTTTCTCAGAGCCATCTGGGAAACACTACATTTCTAGTCACAGCCACATTTCTAGCCACTTACATTTCTATGTTACAGTTACTTGCAACACTACATTTCTAGTCACTTACCCTAACAGTAGCTCCACTAAAACCTCTCAGCACATAAAACACTCCAGAACAACAACACATTGCTCCATCTGTGACAACACAAAGAAATTAAAGACCAATTTTCTGCTTTATCCATGTTTGCAAGGACTTTTCTTGGCAGTGGGGCATAGTGTTGGTACTTCTTCTGGACTGCAGCTCCAAATATTTTAGGTGCAACTTCAGCATTTAGACATATGTGCTGACTGCAACCATATTTTGGTCTGTTGGGAGTCCTTGCACTCCTTTTGAGCCAAGTCCCTCATTTACTTTGCATTAGTCCAGTCTGCAGTGGTTTTGACACTTGCAAACTAAGTGAATCCTCTTCTGAGGAAACCAAGGCAGATGTGTATCTAGGCAGATGTGTACAGGGTACTCTTGGCCCCTTAGGGAATTATAAAGGTCCATAACAATTTTGGCCAGTAATGAATCATTTGCGTGGTAGAGACTATGGTAAATCTAGTCCAGAGTAAAAAATCTCCAAACCACATATACTGAGGAATATGGGGCCCTCAGCAACAGCTGTTTTAATCTACTCCTGAGTAACACAACACAGGAACTGTGTAGGTCTTCCCAGGACAAGCAGGGTGCAAGATCCCTTACCTGACTCTCTCATCTTCAGTTCTTTTAAGCTCTGCATCCCGTTGCAGCACCTTCATTATTGCCTCTTGTTCCTCCTCTGTTAGGAAGCTTAGGTCAATCATCTTGTTTTGTGTGTAGGGTTGGTAAAGAGTCTGGGAAGATCTTGGATGCTGCTGAGGGCAGTCTTGTAGTCTGCTTTAAAGTTCTAGAAATTTTTTTCAGCAGGCACTGACAAACCTGGACTGGGTTACAGTCAGTGATTTAAAGAGTCACAGAGGTTGCTTTCTTGCATGTTTCCCTAGATCAGAGACTTCTGGGACAGTGTTGCATTCCTGCTTGCCATCACAATAATGTCTTCTCAGTTTGTCCTCTCAGCTCTGCTTCCTGGAGTAAGAGTTCATTGATCCAGCATATCCAGTGTTTGAGAACAAACAAACATTCCCTAAAAAAGAGACAAGGAAGAACAAGTTGCAATATCAGGGATCAGGGAAGTAGATTATGTATGCATTCTTAATTAAGAGAAACAAGTTTTTCAGTGTGATTAAATGACTTTATGAAAGTTCAAATGGTCACTTCAAGTCAAACTTGTTTTACAGGCCTCTTGAACAAGGTGGCCATGAAAATATATTCCTCCCCAATAGGACAACTCACACCCTAAAACATAGAAACAAGTGTCATACAATTGGTACACTTTTATTATACAAGTATTTTAAATCATCCTTACAGTTAGCAGAACAATTTGAAGCAAAGGGGAGATCATCACCCCCAAAAAATAAGTAAAGAGGACTTATCACAATGATTTAAAGGAAGAAAAAAAAAAAAAAAAAAGGCCAAACCACTGTTCTACAGACCATATGGAATAAATGAGAAATAGTTTAAACCTAACAATATTGAGTATGTGTAATTACAAGTCATGTGGTAACATGAACCTCACTGCTTTATACAAGCCAAACTGCATTTACAAGTAGTAATTTGAAATACTGTTTTGTCTGTTTCACAGGCCATGGTTTCAGAGGACTATCCACTTAGAGATAATTCCAACTGCCAAAGACAAAAACCTCTTCTTAAAAAAGCCCTTCAAGGAATAAAGAGGGTATCATGGGGAGGAGTCAGCTGTGTCTGTGGTAGGGCTATCTTAGTGCCTCAGGACTACAGAGATGTGGATGTCAAAGCCTGAAAAAAAATAAATAAATAGCTCAAATGTAATGCTCAGAATCCTGCCAAGTTCCAAACCTGGTGAGAGACAGAAGAGAAGCAGATGTTTTCAGTGGACAGGACTCTGTACCAGGCAGCTCCATCACAGCCCTTCAGGGTTGTGGGTGTCTTCCTTTGGCCCTTGCAGACTGACACTGTGATGTGGCTGACAGGATACTGACTTCATATCAATCTACCAAGCACTACAATTGTGCAATGAGTCACTGCATTCACACCCCTGGGCACAACAGTGCAACCAGGCCATTAAAACAAGACATTGTCTTTTAGATTTGGTAGGGAGCTGTAGCCACATTACTGATTATGCCCCCAACTCCAATGCCCAACTACCTTCTGCATGTTTTTGTTTGGCTGCCGTATTTTTCTCTATAATCCTCATTGTGATTTTGTTGCATGGGGTTGATACAACAGCATCTCAAGCAACCTGCCATCTGTAACCTTATTTGCTTTTAGAAAATTATGGCTTCATAATTAGGCAAAAGTGAAAAGTGCTTTCTATAGGACTACCAACAAATATAACAACCCTAAATTTGTTGAGTCTCTACAAAAGTACTCCTTCAGCTTAGGTATGGATATTGGTTTCAGCTGTCATGTGGAAACATTCTACACCATCTGACATAGCACCCACACTGCTAATCCAAAGCCCTGGATGCCAGTTGAATGGCAAGTGCCCAGCCAACAGGCACAGAAGCTCACGTTGCAACTACAGACCCTGGACAGCTGTGAACTGAAATAATCAAAGATTTTACTTTGTTTCTTGCCCAAGATAAGTCCAGTCTGCAAGAAAGCTGCGAATAATATCTTACCACATCTTTGGTCTTTTTTGTTTAAAGAAGACTGAGGGAAGATGTGTTATATTGTTTTATTATATTAATTTTAAAATCCAAAGGAAATAGTTGGACAGCATTTACAAAACCACCTGCAGAGTTCACTGATGTCTCTCAGTACTCAAATCAATAAAATTAGTGGAAATAGAGCTTTGGTCCTCCCCAGCTGAACAACAGGTTGCAAGGGCACATCCAAACAGACTGTGAGAGCTCACAGCAAGCAGCACTGCTACTAAACTTGCCAGATACCATCATTCTGTAGAGCAGTTTCTTCAGCTAGGGGAGGGCCCCCACTTTGTTTTCAGAGGTCAGATAGCAAGATACCACCTTCCCTGGCAGGCTCTTCACCCATGATTCCACAGCTCTTCATAAACAAGACTCTTTCTGTGTGTGTGGTGCATGGCCAATCTCATGAGATTGTCTGATACAAGTAACTGCAAGGCTGGCGTTCTGTGAAAGATTATCAGCACTGATTCCAAACACAGATGGTAAAAATGCTAGCTTAGATTATAGAACCTGTTGTAAAACTTGAAGTTAATTTAAAAATGAAAAGTTTAAAAAAAAAAATCAATGTCTCCCTCCTGTTCAATTCACACTCTAATACCACCTCTGCCTCAATTATTTTGATTTCTTTTGATATTTTCTTTCTCTTAAAAACCCCTATACATGTCAAGAAGAACTGAGAGGTTTGAACAGTTTGTTTGGTGCCACTGCAAGTTCAATGGCAAGCTTTTTTTTTTTTTAGGACTGAAAACCTTCCTGACCAAGTTTCAAATAAGGCTGAAAGATCCTTATCAAACTGATTAAATCATGGAAATTGATACCATGTTGACTGACTTCTGAAGCAGGAGTTTCTTGTGCTATATAATATATGCACATGTGACTCATGGCATATTTGGCACGATTTTTTTTCTTAAACATTAAATTCAGGTAAAGCCACACAAAAAATCCTCCCTTAAATGAAAGACTCCCAGTAATAAACAAGATCTGAAATTATGTTTCATCCAACTCATGCATGAAAGCTTCTATGTTCTGGCAATAAATGAAACACAAAGGTAACTCAAAATATAGTTTTGCCCACACACACTCTTAAGCTGCTTTTGGTTTCCAACTCGTTTAGGCCAGGCACTCATCCAAAAATTTTATCTTGTAAAATTTCTCAGAACCTCTCAGACAGCTGTACACCTCAATTGCTTTAAGTCAGAATTCGCATTTTTCTAAAACAGGAACCACAAAAGAAAGACAACTTTGTCTACAAACTCATTAACCCTATAGACGGCTCTGCTTATTCCCACACACTGTTTTTCCCCAAACACAAAAGGGGAATGTTAATTTGAATATTGTATTCTGAACACTATGGTATATTACATTAAGAGTTACTACAATAATAGTTCAAGTTTCCAAGTTTTTACTCAGTGTATGCCTATGGGATGCAAATGAGGGAGGTAAGGAAAAGGTTGGAGTACTTTGCCATGGCTGACATTGAGTTTACCAGCAGAGTCAGAAAACAAACAGCAAAACCCCAGAGTCAGCTGTTCCATTCAAACCACGATCTCCTTTTGCATGTAGAAATCTCAATGTCCTAACTTTACATTGCAAAACTACTTTTCAAGGGCTCCTTGTAGAGGAGACCTAAGCTGCTAAAGCTCTGATCCAGAGAATCTGTCTTGCAGCCAATGCCTTCTAACAAGAGGAAGAAGGTGACAGCCAATCCTACTTTTGGCTGCTTTACACAGCTCTCTGTGCCAATTCCTTCAGCTGAACAGCTACCCTGCAGGCCTGGCTGATCAGCAACTGCTATCTGCACACATCTTCATCACAGAAAGAATCCACTTACAAGTAACCTACTGGCTCTTAAAAATAAGAGGGTTTGGATTTATATGCTTGACAGCTACACATTTTTCTAACTATATTTCTCCACTGCTAGAACATACCAGCACTAGCAGCTAGGATGAGTTGGAAGTCCACACATAAGGCAACAGGAAGTTGAGGAAGACAGATAAATGCAATTGTGCACTACGAACACTTGCATGTGCAGAGGAGCTCATTCTCAAAGGTAACCAAGTTTGGCTTACACCCATGCTCAGGAAATAACAGACCTTTATTTTGAAGCAGGGAAACCAAGAAGAATACTAAGAGCAATAAAAGCCTTGGAGAACTGGCCCCTATGGCCCTGGGAAGTAACATTAGGCAGTAGCAGTACCTCTGACTGCGAGTCCCACAAGCTATAGCTTTGCAGCAACAACAAACAAATAAATAATTTTCATTCTCCAGTGATATTTAAACAGTGCAGTCACAGGTAACTCACCACCAGCCTAGGCTTAGAGTTAATTTTTCTGTAAATACATGAGGCAAATCCCATGAAGGTAGAACAGCTAATTAAGCTAAACACCATTATTGGCACAGGCACAAATGGTCATGAACATATTTGCTCAGAAGATCAGAGGATTATGGATTTCATTTTGAGCAGTGGCGAAAGAAAAGCTATTAACTTTGCAGTGGGACTTAAGTCACAATTCATGGGGGTTTTAAAAGCTGTTGCCTGCAATGATCAGGACAAGAATTTCAGCACAAGAAGGCCTGTTGCCATTTTTATTCCTGAACGGGCAAAAAGGAAATGATCACCCAGTAAGATATGCATATCTGCAGCCAATCCAGGCACTCTTACAAGAGGTGCTATCAGACTATTTTGAAAATTATAATAGCAGAGTATACACAGCATATCTTATGTCCAACAGTTCCAGAGATTAATTTAATTAATTTTTAAGAGTGTTTGCTTACATGTGTCTTTAATCAGTGGGAGGTAAGGAAGTTCTTATCTAGCTATTTGTGAAAAGTGCTGGTACAACAAGGACTTTTGCAGAAGTGAGGGGTATTATTTTAAGAGCAGTTTCAGTGTTGACTTATTAAACAGCAATGCTTCATTTCATTGCAATAATAAGCCTATTTGTCCTCCTATGCAACAACATGGTTAAGGGAAAGAATAGGACCAGATAACTGCTCCAAACAGCCACAAAGGCGAAAATACTGAAAGCTACACACAAGCTTTGCTCACACCTTACCCTTCCTCAACAGTATTGAAATAATCCTTGTTGTTTTTAACCTGTAAAATAGTTGCAAATCTCAAGATACTTTCACTGACAGCCTTATATAATGATCAGCTGAAAGAGGAAGAAGTTCAGCTGGCACAAGCACTTCAGAAAAATTAGAAAAAATCTCATTTTCTCCTGGAACATCCAATTTGTTGGTCCACGTGACTCTGCCTGTGGTTTAATTTTATTCTTATTTGGTAAGACATTAAGACCTTCACCACTTTGAAGACTATTAAGGCAATTTACTCTGAAGAAGAGTTAATAGCAAAGAGGATAAAAGTTAACAACTTAATTTTGGAACAGAAAAGCAT